AATTCAATATCTTCATTAGACTGTCTCTGAAATTGAACTGAGTAATTTAATCACTGTCGATGTCAACTGAAACCTCTGTACAAATTGCAGTGATGGCAACAGATGTAAATTGTCTCTTAGTATACAATGCAAGGGCATCTGAGACATCTTCAAACTGCTCAGAGTCATTGCGCATAGACGTTCCTGGATCCTTGTTTCACAGAGTCACGAACATAGTCACATAGTTTAGTCCATTGTTAGGTCAGCTGCTAAGAAAGTAGGTTCACTGTGTCGTGCGGAACAATTTTTCTCTCCAGAATCTATCTTACATATCTATAAGTCTACCATTCATCCATGCCTAGAATATTGCTTCCACATAGGATGCGGTGCTCCTGTTATATATTTAGAGTTTCTTCATAAAATCAAAGATGAATCAGCAGCTCTTTCTACCTTTAATCAGTGTGGCTAATGCTAACCTCCACGAAAATGACTCATTGCGCCTTCTTGGACTAACATTCTTAACTGAGATGAAGTGGAAAGATTATATTGAATCCATTGCTAGGTCAGCTGCTAAGAAAGTTGGTTCACTGTGTCGTGCGAGACCATTTTTCTCTCCAGAATCTATCTTACATATCTATAAGTTTACCATTCGTCCATGCTTAGAATATTACTGCCACGTTTGGTCTGGCGCTCCTGCTATTTATTTAAAGATTCTTGATAAAATCCAAAAGAGAATCAGCAATATTATTGGTCACTTTCACACCGCCGTAAAGATGCTGCCCTGTGCCTTTAATATAAATACTTTCGTGGCAATTTTTCGGATGTACTCTTCGCTTTGGTACCCAGATTTTATGAATTTAATCACACTACTAGATTAGCAACACCGTCTCATCAATTTACAGTTGAAATGGCTCGATGTAACCGTAAGTTCTATGCTAAAAGTTTCTTTTCTCTTACTTCTCGCTTGTGGAACTCTCTTCCGGTTCCATGTTTTCCGTCCAACTTTCATCTTCAAAAATCTAAATGCAATGTCAATCACTATCTAATGTCTTCCTGGTTACACTTTTATTCTTCTCGCGCCTTCTTAATGTTTTGTGTTTTCTAATTCTCCACCCCAGTAACTCCTTGTATCTTAGTGGCTTTACTACCTTGCTTGGGGCAAATTCGATTAAAAGTATATGATCTCCCATATTGTGACAAGTCACGTATGGAGCCATATTTGGGTAAAACGTTGAATCTACCAATGAATCATGAAATCCATTATTACTTTTCTGGCAGGGAAATGTCAACAGTATTTTCTTTGGGTAGGATATGATGAAATTGTTAAATCCAAATTAAAAAAATTCACATTTTATGGTTAATTTCTTGGTGTTAATGAAAAAATAAATCAAAATGAGACACGTTATGACATTTTTAAATATATTTTTGGAATTGCTTTTTGATTTATTAATCCGTCATATTCCCACCATAGAGAACCCTCCCTGCCTCCTATCAGAATGGCTGATGCCCAACTCCACGTGAGCGTCTCTCTGCGCCTTCTTGGTCTCACGCTTTCCGCTGACCTGATGTGGAACAACTAGAGTGAATCAATAGCTTCATCTACCGCAAGGAAAGTTTGTTGTCTGTGTCACGCCAGAAGTTTTTCCTCACCTGAGTCCATTCTTCAAATCTACAAAACTACCATTCGTCCTTGCATTAAATGTTGTTGCCATATATAGTCTGTTGCCACCGCTGTTCATCTCGAGGTCCTCGACAAAATCCAGAGACGGATATGCAATGTCCTGATCTGGCATCTCGTCTACAGTTACTTTATCATAGACGTTATGTGGCTTCCTTCTGTCTTTTCTACAAATATTTTCATGACGAGCTACTTTCACTGGTAACCCCAACTGCATGAATTTAAACGTGCTACTCAACTGACATCTCGGTCCTACCCTTTTACTGTCGAAACAGTTAAATGTAAACGCCTTTTCTACTCCAACAGCTTCTTTTATCGTACTTCCAGACAGTGAAACTTCCTTCCTCTTACTTGCTTCCCTGATAGCTATAATCTTCAAATATTCAAATGTAATGTCAATCGACATCTTTTGATGCCTTGATCTTGATCCCTGTTCTTCTCTATATTCTTTCCTCAAACACCCCCCTCTTTACTCTTGATCTCATTCTTTGTGACCCCTTGCGTGCTAGTGGCACTACCGCTTTCTTGGGGTGAAAGGCTTAAAAAAAAAAAATTATTACTTCAACGTTATTTTTATTAGCTACCCATATTTGAGTAGACGCCTTGTTTATATTTATTGAACAGTATATTTATTTATTTCATCTACCGGCCTGAATATTCAAGAAATTAGAAAAATATACCGGAGAACACATACTTTCCTAATAAGATTTTTCGAAAATTTCAGGGCGTTAAATAAATATCAGTCAGTCAGTAATGGTTCTCGAATATTCAGGCCGTTATAAATAAATAAATATCAGTCAGTTATGTACCAATGATATATAACTGACGAAGCAGATTTTTTCCCGCAGTAGGTTGCCATTTCATCCAAGGCTATAGAACCCGGTCTGTCCTGCTATTTACCCATAGCTGGGGTGGGGAGAAGAGGAGGATTCATACCTTTCCCAAGGGTATTAGCACGTAAGTGAATGTAATAGATTTGACTGTATTTCGAACTCGGCTCTCCGATTCCTCAATCCGAGCCGCTATCCATTACTCCAAAATATATTGTTTAATAAATGCAAGCAGAACGTCTAGTCAAACATGCGTATCCAATAAAAATAATTGTTTTTAAATATATAGGCGACGTTAGGGACACCTTGTACATTTTGAAGAGAAAATAAGCATAAAGTTACCCCTTTTTTTCCATTTGTCGTGCGTGTTCGTGGAAACCTTTTTCGCCATTTAAGGATTGTAATTACATCGGGTAATGAATATTTATTCACGTTATTATTTAATAATAACACCTCACTATCAAAGAAAGGCAGGAAGAAGGAAGTAAACTTTTTTTTGAAAGGTTTTTTAGCCAGAACATTTACTACTTTTTATGTATAGCAAGGTTAAATTACTGTTTTTAAACTACACTAAGACACAACGCGTTACTGACTGCGAGTGAAAGAGAACGTGACGCGAGGACAATAAAGAAACTGAGAAGCAAGAACCTGGAAGAGTGTTCCACAGGTGTGAAGTGCGAGAAAAGAAACTATTAGAATATACCTTATGGTTATATTTAGTTATTTCAAAAGTTAAACGATGGGTAACCTAGTAGTATGCTTAAATTCATGCGCGGTCGTGGTGCCAAGGAGAAATTCTAATTAGAACAACTGACATGTAAAATATTTATGGGAAAAATAGAAACCCACATGACGGCGTTGGGAAAATGACTAAAATCGAGATGCCAGGTCAAGGCGTATAACATTACAGACTCTTCTTTGGATTTTGTCGAGAATCTTGAGAGGTATAGAAGGTGCAACAGACCAGATATTGCAGCAATATTCAATCCATGGACGAATAATAGATTTATAAATGTGCAAGATGGAGGAAGGTATCAGAGGGTCGTGTAAAGTAAATCTGCAAATGTAATACTACATTTGTATATCAAAGACTAAATTGTCGATTTCAGCTTCATTATAATTAGCTTAAAAGCCGCACTCTATGCGAACTTATAAGCTAGCTCTTGCGACCAAAATACCGATTTGGATCGAAAGTCCGATTTGAGCTGAAATTCCAATTCAGGCCTAAAATATAAATCTGCACCACGGGCTTTTTCAAATATCTCATTTTCTAAAAGAAATACTCTTTTCCCAAGCTAACATATATGAATATAACATTTTTGAAGAAAACTATTAAATTCATGACCTATTATTTAAAACTAACTTAAACACCGCAATCCGTGCGTACTTATAAGCTAGCTCCTGCGGAGGTTTAATTTGCCTCTAACCCCAAACTAAAGGGGCCTCTAGTCCTGTTTAGAAAACATCAATGATAATTTAGAAGAAATAACTTTGAATTCCTCAATTCACGCCATCAAAACCTCACTAACTGAGATTCAGGCTATAAGTCTAATACCGTGCAAAAGACCGATTTGGATTGAAAGTCCGATTTGGGCCGAAATTCCAATTCAGGCTGAAAATTGAGTTCTTCAAATCACAAACTCTGTGTCTTCCTGAGTTCACCACGGTGTAGAAAAAGATAGCCGTAGACCCCACGCTGCAGTGATGGTGAAGAGTCATTGTTGTCAGAACCCATGTTTGAATGCGCAGAGGGATGTCGCCCCAGAGGGAGGGTAGCCAAGGTGTTTTCCTTACTGACCCAAGAGGAGGAACTTTCCTGTGAGGCTATGGTAAAGAGAAAGTTGATGAGGGTTTGATAGATACGGAGGTGTCGATGTCCTTAATAGCTGAGGAGCAGTACAAAAGCCTACTTACAACAATCACTCTTCACCAGCGCGAGGTCTACGGCTGTCTTTTTCTACACCGTGGTGAACCCAGGGAACTCTTCCGAGGTTTACCCTGCCTATTTCTATAGGGGCAGTTGGCTGCAAATTGGATCAGAGTTAAAGTGAGAGGTTTAGTGACACGTGATTTTGAAGTTCTGTAGAGTTTTTTGATTTGAAGATCTCAACTCAATGGAAGTTCCACGGAGTTTGTGATTTGAAGAACTCAATTTTCTGCCTAAATAGGAATTTCGGCCTAAATCAAACTTTCGGTACAAATCGGTCATTTAGCCGGAATTGGACTTATAGCCCGAATCTCAGTTAAAGTGAAGTTCCATCGAGTGAATTGAGGAATTCAAAGTTATTACTTAAAAATTATCATGCTGGACGCGGTAGAGTTAATATCTATTGGGTTGGCCAATCAGTCCACCAAGACAATTGAGGTGAAGAGGTAGAAAAGGCTCTACTATTAAGGTCAGTAGAACGGGTGAAATGCAGTGAAGGAAAGAAAAAAAATAGAGAAACTCTCGCTGGGCGAGTGCAGTGCAGGGAACCTAGGGGGTAAAGTCCTAGATTTTGGCTTGAAACCTCCTAAAAGCGGAGAGGAGGTGAGTGATTGAGAAAAAGCGAATGAAATGTCTCTCTCTCAACTCCAAAAACAGTTGAAAGAAACAAAAGTCGAGAGACAGAATAAACAGCAGACAGGAGAGAGAGAAATAATAGCCTTGTAAAGAAAAGCCTTACAGTAGAAGGGGAAGGGAGAAGTGGACTCCATTACAGAATGATATCAATGCCTGCTGCTATGAAAAAAAAAAAAAAAAAAGAAAGAAACGTGTTAGATACGAAGAAATTTTATCAAGAGTTTAAAATAAATTTTGGGGGAAAGTTAAATTGAGATCAGATTTTAGAAGCTGCATGTTGAGGCATTTTAAAAGAAAAAAAGCAGTATTGATTTTTTCTTTCGTTGCTCGAACAAAGGGGTTGATCAAAGAATTACTTTATTGTGTTATATATATATATATATATATATATATATATATATATATATATATATATAGATTGTCGGCTCATTATTAGATAAATACGAATTTAATGTCGATTTTAAACGTGGAGCACCTCGTTGCTGGGTGTGGGGATAATGTGGTGTTAGCTTGTAACGACATCATGAGGTGAGGTGTTTTCTGAAACACAAGGAAGGAAATATCTGATTGATATTGTGGATATAAATATGAGGAATATTTTAATAATAGTGGCTTATTACTAATGAAGTGGATTGTTTGGCTATGTTGAATGAGGCAGGAAATTTAAAGTGACCGAGTGTCAGGGAAAACGAATACAGTGGGCACAAAAGAAGAGAAATGAGAGGGTGAATAAAGAGAGAAAAGAAGTAGAATTGTGTTCGGGGGACACGTGTACTACAAACTTAATCTAAGAGATGGCAGGGCGAACAAAAAGGGCTCATACCAATGACCTGATGTTAGCTGAAGTAACTGATTGCCAAGTAAGCGAAATAGGGCAAGGACAAGGAAAGCCATCCTTGTGGAGCCAGAAGGAATGGAAACAGATGGAGATTCTGTGGAGGAAGAAAATTGAGAGACAAGCCATCAGCCTGCAAATGCTGACCATAGCGAACTGGACAGGACAGTCCGAGTGTCAGAGTTGGACCCTTCAGCAGTGGCCAGCAGCGTTCATTGCTCGTTTGTGGCGTTGCGAAGAACACCTCGTAATATCATCGCTCTACGCCCACGTCCCCATCGGGCAAAAAAACAAAAAAAAAAAAAAAATCCCGCCCAAGACCAAGAGCCCTAGTAGTGAAGTTCAGGGCTCCGAGTTGGAACCTCCTGAGCAGGAAGGAGGGTTGAGTGAGTGGGAAGAGGAAGATGAGATACCTCTTTCCCAACTCCGAAAAAGATTCAGGGATAAAGAAAGGCCAGAAGTTGAGTCAGAGAGTAATGAAGAAGTCCAGGGTTTGGATTTGAAACCTCACGAGCGGGAGGAAGGGTCAAGTGAGAGGAAAGAAGAAGATGGGATACCTCTTTCCCAAACCCAAGAAAGATCAAGGGATGAAGAAAGGTTAAAGGTTGAGCCAGAGTTATCCCTTAAGGGGTAAGAAACCCCGAATCTCAATAAGAAAATGAGGTTGTAAATGGAGAGGTGAATGGGTTCGAGTCAGTGCTCAGTGACGTCGATCTCATTCAGGACTCTCTTCAATAGATCACTAGTGGAGTTTGTTGAAGAAGATAGAGGCGTGGACAGCACGTCACGGAGGGTGAAGAAATATTACTTGTTGGTGCTGTCGTTGGCGTGCACATTGGCCCGTGTATGTCCGGCGGCAGTATTGATGAAACACGACCTCTTGGGCGAAAAGCGCCTCAAACCTATCTGAATCCAATCAACTCACTAAAGACTAGAATAAAAGGAAGAAAAGTAAATTGCGAAACTAATAGATGGGAGTAGAAAGAGTACTTCAGAATAATAAATATAAAGGAATCTATGAATAGTAAGAAGACTAAGAACAAAGAATTCTTATACCTTTGCAGGATTGATCGCTATGAAGGGACTAATACTACTATGATGATGATGATGATGATGATGATGGCAGGAGCATGGAGACACAGCCAAATACAACTTTTAAGAAAACAAGTGAAGTGACAATAAGAAGGTCAAAATTGTTGTTTACCTTTGTGATAGACCTGAATCCATACGAGTTGCCATTAGAGAAATTGGAGAGTTAGATAATAGGGCTGATTGCTGCCAGGCTATGAGTAGCTCAGAATTATCCCAAGGAAGGAAGGTACCTTAGACTATTTTACTCTTTAGAATTGGAAACAGCTATAATGGAAGCACAGTTGAAAGATTTGAAGATTCACCTAAAAGAATCGAAATACTACAAACGAGAGAAAGGAGGGCAATAGTCTCCAGAGTTGGAAAAGCGCTAAATGTTCTGTTTGGAACAGTAACTGAAGATGACGTCAATGCACGAGACGAGACGAGAGACAACCCACGTGATTGTCTGCTGACGAAATGAACCTCTGAATTCAGCCTTGTGTCGAACTTTATCAAAACAGCAAAACAAACTTTACCAAGTCAACAACATCATTTTCGATTTAAACACGGGTTGGCCTGATAATTAATTGCATGCGAACCCCGATATAGCCAATTATTGTACGAAGAACTAATATAAAAACAGTATTTACTTTTTGTTCAATTTATTCAGGTGTTATTTTTCCCTGTAGGTTTTCGCCCTGCATGGACCAGCCTGTCACGAGGATACCTGCGACGATTCGATCTTGGCTGAGATTGAAGCGATCTTCATCGATCAGCCGCGGTGTTGAAAGTCTTGGACGATCAGAGAGGGTGCTGGGCGACAAATAAATGGATATGAACAGACTGATAGATACATAGACAGATAGATAGATTGTTTCAATGTTTTAGATGTTTAGTAAATTTCCTATGGCCGTAATAACATTTAGATAGTATGGCATTGTTCACAAATCTAAAAACAGGGATGAAACGTCAGAGCTTGCTTTGAAGAAAATCGGATAAAAAAATGAGGAATTTACTCATGTTTTTATTTTAAGTAGTACGAAAAACCTTGAATTTTTCAGTTTTTTATAATTTTTTTGTGTGAAGCCAACGTCATAGGAAAACTATCAAGCATTCTACATAGACCTCGTAACATGAGCTATGTTTTGCATTAAGTGCCAAGAACATCAGCTCATCCAGTAAAAATTTTGTTCACGTGTATCTTTGCCTTGGTTTTTGCAAAAAGTCATACCCACCATCAATTTTATTGATTTTTCTACCAAACCCGGGGTGGGGGGTTACTGGAGATTGAAAAGTTGGTCATGACCTACCTTGGCAATTTTGCAACATGTATGTACAATTTCATCGAAATTGGTTGAGAAATGTGAACATGCATAAATATTTAACAGACACACACAAACATCTGTTTTATAGATGTAGATGAACAGACTGAGATAGATAAACATGAACAGACTGAGATAGATAAATAGATATGAAAAAATGAATGGACTGATATAGACAGGTATAAAAAAGGAATGTACTGAGATAGATAGATAGATAGATAGATAGATAGATAAATAAATACATATAAACAAACTAATAGATAGATGGATAGATAGACATGAACAGACTGAGATACATATATAGATAGATATGAAAAAATGAATAGACTGAGATAGATCTAAAAACAAATAGACTGAGATAGATAGAGAAATATGAAAATTGAATAGCCTGAGATAGATATAAAGACTTGAATAGACTGAGATAAATACAACAACAATAGCGATAATAATGATAATAATTGCCACACATGAAACAGAAAAATCTTGCACAAATGCTAGTTAGTCAGCAAAAATGAATAGACTGAGATAGATAAATAAATAGATATGAACAAACTGATAGATAGATGGATAGATGGACATGAACAGACTGAGATAGATAGATAGATAGATATGGAAAAATAAATAGACTCAGATAGGTAGATATCTCCAATAGCTTTCTAGAATAAAAGTTTAAGTGAAATAAATGAAGAAATGTTTATTATGCAATTCTGATTCGCATTCAGTTTAATTTGATAATTTAGTTCTGTTTTGGCTTCCATAATTAAACTAATTTTACCAAAAAATTACTTTCAGTATGCAAGATAATAACAAACTACTTTAAAAGGAAATACAAAGATAATTTTATTTCAGTGTCTTCCCAACGACAGGACTCATGCATACATACACCTACCGATATCTAATCCTTATATATACATATACAGACATATTCTTATATACATTCGCATGCAGACAGACAGTTTTATACATGAACACACATTTATATATTCACGAACACGCATATTATCGTGTATATATACGCAGAGATAGAAATAGGATAGAGATAGAAAGAAATATGAGGAGAAAAAGATATATGGATAAGAATACGGATAGATAAAAAAGAATAGGAAAAACAGATATTAATTTAGATAGGTAGATCGACAGACATGAATTGACTGATAGATAGATAGATAGATAGATAGATAGATAGATAGATAGATAGATCGACAGACATGAATGGATAGATATGCAATAGAACGAATAAGCAATAATTTATGTAGATAGATAGATATCGTAACACACGAAGCTAGGTAGCTAGATAGATATATATGAAAGGACCGAGAAAAATATAGATCGATAAATAGATATGAACAGAAGTAGATCTATAGAAGTGAATAGGGATAGATATATAGATAGAAATAGTAATAAGTATATCAATAGCTGGATAAACAGATCGACAAACCTACAGACAGATATACACACATTTAAAACGGAAGAAATATATTAAAGTCATGGCGGTAAATAACTTTTATTAATTTCTATTTGTTTTATATTATTTTAAATTCAATTATTCATTTATATAATTATATATTCCCGGTTCTCGTTTGTTAATTGTTAATTTGTTGCGGGCACAATTTTATAATTTTTGCTGAAATACAATGACAATAACAATAACGATAATAGTGATAATAATTGCCACTCACGAAACAGAAAAATCTTGCACAAATGCTAGTTAGCCCGGCTATT